TGCTTGCTAGGCAAATCCTCTAACACTTAGCCATGTCCCAGCCCTTTTCTCGCTTTTAAAATATAATATTTCTGTCATAGCTAAGCACAGTGGCATAAGCTTATAATCCCAGCTATGTGGGAGACTGAGTGAGATAGGAGGACTAGGGTCTAAGGCCAGCCCCAGGCAAAAGTGTGAGAGTCTACTTGAAAAATAACTAAAGCAAAAAGGATTGGGGGTGTGGCTCAAGTGGTAGAGCTCCTGCCTAATAAGCATGAGGCCCTGAGTTCAAACTCCGGTACCACCAAAAAAAGGGGGAAAAAGCCTGACACATCATTCAATTTTAGGAAACCTGTTTTACCACTGGGTTTTCAATCAATTGGATATTTTATTTCTTTCATCAAACTTTTTTTCTAAGCTTTCTAAGCTGTTTCTTTGTGACTTCTCCCCTCCCAGGCTCTGGTTTCAGCTCTATTTAGTCTGAAAAGTCAGTTAGCAACTGTGTTACATGTGTGAGAGTAGCTGGCAAGCATAACCCTTACTGAAAATCAGATTGTGCAGGATAAAATTAAATAAGTTAATTTAAAAATCGAGGTGAAATATTCAAAACCCATTACTTTCTAATAATTATGCAAAATAGTAATTGCATCATTGTTTTTTGCATTCCGCTATTATGCATATTTTGGGGTTTTTTTTTTTGTGACTTGTCCACTGGGTCTGTGTGGTGGGAGTGCTGGGCACTGGAGTGTGGGGTTCACCCGCCCCGACACCTGTGGGGAGCTGACACCAGTCAGTGCTTTGTAGAACAGATCCCCACCCCCACCCCAAGAGCCGGCTGTTAGAGCCTGCCAGCACACCACTGGTTACCCTGCACCTAGGGTTTTTTTTTTTTTTTTTTTTTTTTTTTGGGCATCTGTTTTCAGCCTTACAGTTTATGTCCTTTAGAGTGCCTTTGCTCTGAATTTGAGGAGATTTAAGATACATCTCTGTGTCCTGGGTGCTAGTTCATAGGAAAAAAAATCCTCCAGTCTCCTCCAACTCTTGGTGGCAGTGTGTTCCATGGGACCCTGGAGCATGGACTGTTCTCAAGGCCCTGAACAGGAACTGGACCTGAAAAGAACGATGCCCAGTGGGGCTCACATCTGCTCCGTGGCCGGGGATCGCCTGTGGCGTGGGTACTCGGTCAGGTGTCCAGGCCCTGAGGCCCTCACCTGTACCCCTATGTGACCCAGGAGTCCTCCTCGGGCTGTTTATTGGTGTTTGGTTTGGCATTGGTAGGGATGGAACCCAGAGCTCTACCACTGAGCTACACCCCGAGCACTGTTGTTTTTTAATAGACTTGTAGATCTGTTGTAGGGTCCCAGGTACAATAGGCCTTACAGGTCCCCTGCCCCTCACGTACAGCCTCCTGCATTCAGCAGCTCCTTTGTCCCAGTTGATGAACCCACACGAACTGGTCCTCAAAACCTGAAGGCCATGGTCTCCCATGGGAGTCACTCCTGTGCTGGATGCCCCATGGGCTTGGGCATATGAATAAGGACCTGGGTCCACCAACACGGTGTCCTGAGCAGATTTCCCTGCCCTGACAGCCGTCTGCATCCCTGCCACCCTGCCTAGCTCCAGTTCTGCCTTTGCCAGAGCATGCCAAGCTGGAGCAGGAATTGCTCACCCTGACCTCGAGGTTCCTCACAGCTGTGATGTGGCTGGTGCATTTCTCCTTAGTGCTAAATAACATTCCTTCCTCTGCTGTAGCACAGTTGGATTGTCCACGTCCAGGCCCTTGCCACCGCCACAGCTGGCTTCCCGTGCCATTTACCGTCCTGTCTCTCAGGCTCACGTCAGTCTTCAGAGAGGCGTCCCCTCCATGTGCCTTGGCCTCTTGTGGTGACTTCCCTTGTTTTGTCACAGCTTGGAGCATCTCTTGATGTGCCTGACCCTTTGTCTGGATAGGGTACACAAGCCACCAAAGGGTCTGTGCCTGTCGTGTCCTCACTGATGCATCAGGTGCCCAGGTCAGGATGTTGGGGTGAGGGCACTCTGGCCGGGCCACAGTGTCCTGGTCATATGTGCACCAGAACTTTCCAAAGATGTTAAGCTGTTGGCTTCCTCCTCCTCTGGCCTGCACGTCATCTGTGACCCTCTCAGCTGAGTATCACCCTCTGCTCTGAAAGGGCCACTTCCAGCTCTCGTGGGTGGGGTGACTCCTGTCACATGGACCCTGCCAAAGGCCGAACTCCTACATAGCCAGGGGACCACCATTCCAGAAGGTGAGTGAAGGGCAGTAGGTGCAGAGCCTTCAGGGACTCTGCGGCCTGCCAGCATCACCACCACTGCCCTTTCCCTGTGTCTGGAGTCACATGCCAGGAACGTGGGATACCCAAACCACCGGGGCCATTCACGGGGTGTCTCTGCAGCCGGCTCACCAGCTCCCTGCACAGCTTCTGTGGGGTGCGGCCGGCGAGTTCAGACTCACCCATTGTATTTGTCAGAGAGTGGACACTGTCGTGATTAAATGCTTGTTAATTACATGTCCTGATGATCTGATACCGCTGTCTGTGAGACATACTTGTGTAACTGCATGCAGGCTGGGTGTGGCCACTTTTGTCTCACAGAGGAGAGTGACTCTGTTCTTTCAAGGAACTATAACCAAGTGTGGAGTGGAGGCCCTCTGAGCGTGTAAGCCAGTGAGTTCTCTTCGTTGGGGGCTTAGGTGATGACTGCTGCCTGTTCGGAGCTCCAGGTGGAGACGTTCTAGGAGCCACACTTGGTAATGGGCAGTCTCCAGACCTGTGGATGACGTGGGGCATGGGTCCATGTGGGAGACTTGGGGATAGGTACATTGGGAACATTCTTAGTGCTGGAGACCGACAGAGGGTGGCTGGTACAAGGCCTGTCTCGCCATATTCTGGTAGAGGGAGTGGGAAGAGGAACGGACCCTACAAGAGGCATAGCTAGGCTGTCCACATCCTGTGGCCCTCATTGAAAGCAGGTTTATGTCTGAGTGGTGGAAAAATATGTCATGTGAGAACTGACACAATCTGGTTTACAGTGACAACTTCTCTGGCCACTGCTGCTGTGTGGCAATTGGATTATGGGGAGTTTGTATCAGTTTGGAATTGAATCAGTCGGTAACATAAATCTGAAAACAAGTCATTTAAAGAGATTAACCATTTATGAATAAGTCTGGGATGGCCAGTTGAAAGTAGAAAGCAGGTGCAAAGCCTCCACCATATTGTCAAGGTCCCAGCTCCTGTGGGATTCCACTTGGTAGCTCATAGAGTATGATCCTGATTTTCCTGTTCAAAAGGTGGTTGCCAGAGCTCCAGCCATCAAAATTTGAGCTCTAGGCAGCACCACGGGAGGAAGAACTGAGGGCAGAAATGCAATTGCTAACTGAGTCAGCCTCTTTTCAAGAGCTTTTGTGGAGTTCCTATCTAATAACTTCCTCTTATAGTTCTCTGACCAGAGATAGGGAAGCTTGGAAATGTGGTGAGCTGGGCACACTGCCAACCTAAGGTAGTTCTGTAGAGAGAGTAAAGGGACAGGAAGCCAGTGGTCACCATCAGAGAAGACAAGAGTAGGGCGGGGTGGGGGGGTAAAAGGCTGCTGGGGAGGCTAGGATAAGAGGCTGTTGACTTAGGTTGGGGTGGTGGTATATCCGAGGCATGTTCCAAGTAGGGCAGTGCACTTGTGGGATTCACTGTGGGTTGGGACTCGAGGGGTGAGATGGCCCCTGGAGGCGCCTTTCTTGGGTGAGGATAGCTCAGCGTATTGTCATGAGCAACCCAGGCTGCAGCTGGCTTGGGGTTCCCCCAGAGCCCTTCCTATGTCTGAGACCCTGGCTAGCCGTGTGGAGTTGCAGATCTGGCCCCTTCATTCTGTGCTTGCAATGTGCAAACTGGTCTTCTCGTTCCTAACTAGTGATGCTGTGTGGACACTGATGACTCTGGTTTGGGGCAGAGGACCCGTTGGGTTCCGGTTACTGGGTCTTGTATGCCAGCGGGCTTAAGGAGCATTTTCTGACACTATTATTAATTGCAGTAGAGTTGGAAAGCTTGCAAGGTGGTACCCTCCATTGGGGCTGACCATCCTCGGGCTCAGGCTGATGTGGCCCATGTGTCCCTCTGCTCCTCCCCCACAGCTGGGTTTTAAATGGAGGGAAACAGCTACATGAGGGCCTTGTTTCACAAATGTCCCTTTGAGCCCACGCGGCGATGATGTGGAAAGCCTCTTGCAGCCCACGGCTCCTTCCCTGACACCTGTAGGTGCCAGTGCCTTGCGTGCAGACTGAGACCCTGTTGCACTGAGTGCCCCACTGGGTGGCCTGAGAGTGGCATCACTGTCCTGGTCACCAGCCCTATGGTGAGAGGGAGCAGCATGGATTTAAGAGAGTTATGTGGACTGTGTCTCAGTGCCTCATTCCCTCACTGTGGTGGAACGGGGCCTACCGAGTGGACACATTTGTGAGCTCGCCCAGCACAGGGGCCTCCGACTGCCCAGGGACACAGCTGTCCCTTCCTCCTTCTGCTTCAGTCTTTGGCCTCCTGCCGTGCCTGGTTTCAGGGCTGAGGTTGCCCCTTGGTGCTGGGTGTCCAGGGCTGTGTCATTGTGAGTCCCTAGCCTTGGCCTCATGCGCATGCGTGAATGTGTGTGTATGTGTGGCACGAGTACACGTTTGTGTAGGCACGTGCACCTGTATGCATGCACGTGTGCACTGCAGCTCTGTGGCCCTCTGGTCTCTCTGGACATTTCCTTCCGTCAGCACTAGAGGAATTGGGAAGGCAAGTCTCTGAGGGACCCACCCAGGCTCTGTGCATCTGGTTACCAGCCGTGCAGCAGCTGTGTGCTGGGCGTCTCCACAGTCTGCGTCAGGCCCCTCAATGAATCTGCCCCACAATGCAGGGTTGGGCTGGGGCAGAGGAGAGGCACTGAGTCCTTTGTCTGCATGGGAGGTAGCAGGAGTGGCGTGTGGCCTCACATCCCAACGTATGACCTTTCTTTTCCCTTTTTTTTTTTTCCAGTGTTTGATGCCCAGGCAGTGAGAGTGGCATCCAGCCAGCAGGAAGATGTAGCTTCTGGGGGACCCTGCCACTCACTGGCTCCAGGCTGTGCTGCCAGTGCCCCAGCTTTGAGCAGCGTCCCGCTGATGTGACTCCTCGGTCTCCTACTGCCCATGAGCCTGTGCTGCTGAAGACCCAAAGCAATTGCCCCCCCCCCCCGCCTCCCCAATGAGGATGTGTGGCTCTGTCGGGGGGCTGCTCCTGGCCCTGGTGTTGGCGTTTGGGACAGCAGTGGCATTTGCACCCATACCCCGGATTACCTGGGAGCACAGAGGTGAGACCCAGGGCTGTGCAGGTGCTGAGGATGGAGGGAGGGGACAGGACAGGATGGGATGTGCTTGGATGCTGGGATGGACTGCTGGATACCCGGCACTGGCTTTGTGTGAGCCAGAGGCCTGTGTGGCTGTTCAGAGGGATGCTTGCTAACCGGAAGCCTTCCCTGGCTTGCTCAGCCCTCTTGCCGGTCCTGCAACGTGCTGTTTGAATTGGGGATCCCTGAAGGGAAGTTTGCTTCCTTGTGACTGATGACAGCTGAGGCTGCCCGTGCACTTGGGGAGAACCTGGAGGAGACCAGGCCAGCAGGCGCCAAGCTTCCTGCACTGATGCACATGTGCTGTACACTAGTTTCAGCTGTGGTTATTTCCCGGCTAGGGAAGCCAGAGTGTAAGCATTGGATGCTGCTTCCAGGCAGGACCCAAACTCTCTCGGGCAACATTCCAGGCCCTCGTGACAGAGCCGGGACCTGAGTCTTGGTGCATCTTGCTTTTGCAAGCCTTCCTGGCTCTTCCTGTTTTGTTTTACACCTACTGTGTGCTGGGCACCGTGATTGGTGCTGGGGGATTTCAGTCCAATGCTATTACACTCATTAAACTGTATAATAAGCACTAATTACAGATCAAGCAATTGAGCGACAACAGACATCAGCTCTGTTAAAGTGACTCACAGCTTCAGAGCATTGGGGTTGAACTTCTGACATGAGCGTGACACAGGCTGTAAGTGACACTGGAACAGAGAGAGATAATGGTATGTGCAAAGGCACAGGGAGAGGAAGGAAAGTGCCATAAGAAGCTGCAAAGTCTTCCTGAACTCCCGACTCTTCAGTCTTTGGATACTTGATGGTTAATGAATGGATACTTGATGTGGAAAGCCAAGTTCAAAGCACTCAGATCGATGCCAGGACAGCTGGAAAGAAGAAACAGCTTCTTAAAAATAAACAGCACTTAGAGGGCCACGGTGTCCCATGCCAGTAATCCCAGCCCTTAGGATTTGAGATCCTGAATCATTACATACTTTCCAGACTTGATCCATGGATGATTCAAGACACATAGACACGAGGTAGACGGGCAGGTGGAGGCATCTGTCCTGTGGTCCCCTGGGAGGCTACTGAGTAGGGAGCTTGGAAGAGCAGTCAGGTGCGCAGCTTTGGTCACGCATCAGCTCCAGGGACCGGGCCGTGATCTGGTCCCTCGTATGCACTTGATGACTGCGTGGTAGGTCTGCCCTGAAGTATCCATATCGTTCCTCTGCTGCAGTGAGCATGCATCCGTGGCTGCACAGGTTTCCACCCAGGTGGGCTCGCTGTAACTGAGTGGTACTCTCAGGACTGGTCGAGGCTTAAAAAGGATCCCTCACCTCTGTCCTCCCTTCCCTGCCTCTGACGATGCCCCTTGCCTCCCACAGAGGTAGGTCTGGTGCAGTTTAATGAGTCGGGCATCTTCAACTACTCGGCCTTGCTGCTGAGTGAGGACAAGGACACCCTGTACGTGGGTGCCCGGGAAGCCATCTTCGCATTGAATGCTCTCAACATCTCCGAGAAGCAGCACGAGGTAGGTCCTGGGCCCCTGGACCCTGCTGCCTTCCATGCAGCCCCACCTTGGGGTGTCTGCTGGCAGCACACCCAGGGAGTGCTCCCTGTTCATCTTCTCCTTTTGAACTTTTTACCACGGGACAATCTCCACCATGCCCATAAACAGGCCAGGCTCTCATTCCTGCCTGGCATAGTCCCTGCCTCTGGTGGTATTGAGGCAAATCCTGGCCCCGCCTTCATCTGTGCAGTTCATAAAGGAAAGGATTCCTTTTTGTCCAAATATCCCAAAAAAGCATCCAAAATTCATGTCATTAAATACTTAGTCAGTGTTCAAAGTTCACCAATTTGCTCATGAATATTTTTATTTGTTCAAAGAGTTACTTTGGATGCAGTGGAAATCAGCTCGGCACCATCACTGCAGCCTGCCGTTCTGTCCATTTCATCTCCAGCACCAGCCTCAGTTTCCTTCCTGAGAAAGCCACTCTGCACAACTTGTGTTGTGTCTCGGCCTTGACGTGGCTCCTTGCATCCTTAAAGTGTCTAACATGGGCCCCTGTCTCCTCATATCCTCTGCTGGTCAGCTCCAGGGCTTGCCCTGAGCAGGGTGGAGAGAGGCAGGTGGTCCCCCTGCAGGCAGGGTCCATCCCCTGAACTCAGAGGCTTGTGAGCCGGGAAGCTGTATCTCACTTCTGCCTCTCCTTTCTGTCTGTCAGCCAGAAGTCACCTCTAAAGGGAAAGTGCCCTTCCCCAGCTGTTTGGGTCCTGGAGTCCAGTGCCTTTGGGAAAGTCAGGACAGGTGTTATGGTGGATTTTGGACACATTTGATATGCTTATGCTCATTGAGTTCAGTCCTTTTTTTATTTTTACTTTTGTGATGCTGGGGATAGAACCCAGGGCCTCATGCGTGCTGGGAAAGCACCTCCCATCCAGCTGCTTCCCTAGTCCTCATTTGATGCTCTGAGTGCCCCATTCCAGGCCAGTGGCAGCCTCTCGGGCTGGCTTCTAAGGTCCAGCAGTCTCAGGTTGCCAGGCTGTTCGAGGCTCATGTGCACATTTCATGTCCAGGTCTCTTACTTCTCTGTTACGTCTTTGTCACCAGGGTCTACCAGATTCTTCATTTGTATTTGTCACACCAGTGAGCTTTTTAGCATTACCCTTTGAAAATAAAGTGTTCATCCTAAGAGTCACAGAGCACAAGGTGCTATGGGCTCAGCTCCTTCTCAGCTCCTCCTCCTTCGTGGTTCTAGTCACTCCCTCCCTCTTGGTCACTTGGGCCAGGGCTGTGACTCCAGGCATTTCTCAGGGAAAAGCCCTGGGGACACGATCCAGGGCCTGTCCCCCTGTCCTTAGGGGTTCATGCAGGCAGATGATAAGCCACATCTGATCCTCCTTTTAACGTCTGATAGAAATTGCCAGTTCAGGTGGGACCTTGCTCAGACCTCGAGTCCCGATTGTGATGTCCATTGCTGTGAAAAATCACCCTGTGTGGTTTGTCTGCTGCATGGGCACCTGGTGGGAACGCACTGCGCTTGTTCAGATGGACCCCTCTCCTGGGCTCCCCTCCCCAGGAAGTTGTGTGTGCTGCCTGACACCTGTGTGAGTCTCGAGGTGGGGAGAGATGCCCTCTTATTATTTCCGCATTAGTTTTGGGGCCTCCTGCGGGGCTGGTGGGGGGTGATGGGACACTGGGGGCCTCAGTTCCTCCTTCTGTCTTGTGCTGTTTCCTACCCTGTGTGGGGGGGTTTGGAGGGTGGCTCCACCCCCACATCACCCTCATTTTAGGCAAGGTGGTAGTAACATGGATCTGCCTATGGACGGAGTTAAGCCAATAGTGCTTACCACCACCACAAGTGTGAGGAATTGTAATTCTGCTCTCCCCTGCGAGAGTCGGCCACAGGGCTCTTTTCTTCTTCAAACTGGACTTGCAAGTCACTTTTTAAAGCTTTACTAACAGGGATTAATTGCACACATTAATGTTTCCATACACGTATACACTGAATGCTGATGGAATCTGACCTTCCCCAGCCCCACACACTTCCCCAGGTTGACGTTCTGTCGTCTACATCTGAGAAAAGGTGCAGTGCTTGTTTTTCTGTGTCTTAACTTATTTCACTCCACACGACGTCCTCCAGTTCCATCCATTTTGCTGCCAATGACAGGGTTTCATTCCTCTTTACTACTGAGTGATACTCACTGTGTAAATATGCCACCCTTTCTTTATCCGTTCTGTCGATGGGCACCTGGACTCATTCCATGTCTTAGCTATTGTGAGTAGTGCTGCCTAAAATCACTTTTGCAAGGATGACAAAACCCACTTTAGGGTGTAGCTTTTTGGCAAAAGTAATTTTTCCCTACTTCCAATAGTTGTGTCTGCTATTCTTTTGCAGTGAACAAAAGTACTGTGGGAACCAGCCTTCCAGGCCCTGCTGGTTTTAGGGTGAGGGTCATAGAACATTCAGTAAGGCCTGAGACAGCTCCCCAAGTCTCCTTCCCAATCTGAGATTTTATCTCCAGTTTAGAAACCCCTGGGCTCTGAACTCTATGGTGTGCTTTTTAAACAGTACATTTTTTTTTATCCCAGCACTTCCTTTTTCATCAATACTGGGGTTTGAACTCAGGCCTCGTGCCTGCTAGGCAGATGCTCTACCACTTGAACCAGGCTTTGTTTTTTTGTGCTTTTAGTTATTTTTTTAAATAGGCCTGGGCCAGTCTGAGCCTCTGTTCTCTTATTTAATGCTTCCTTATTTAATGTCAGGGCATACCACCAGGCCCAGCTATTTTTTTTTTTAAATTGTTCAAGATAGGGTCTCACACACTTTTTGCCCAGGGTTGATGTCGAGCCTCTGTCCTTTTGATCTTTGCTTCCTGAATAGCTGGGACTATAGGTATGAGCCAACACGGCTGGTCCCAGCACTTTTTTTTTTTTTTAAAGAAAAGGAAGAGCTGGGCACTGGTGGCTCACGCCTGTAATCCTAGCTACTCAGGAGCAGAGACCAGGAGGATCTCAGTTCGAAGCCAGCCCCAGGCAATTAGTTCCATGAGACTCTATCTCGAAAATACCTAACATGAAAAAGGGTAGTGAAGTGGACTCTTGATTTGTTCCTCCCTAACAGGTATACTGGAAGGTCTCTGAAGATAAAAAAGCGAAGTGTGCAGAGAAGGGGAAGTCGAAGCAGGTAATTTCTTTTGCAAGTTAAAAACAAAACAAAACACCATGTATTTCTTAGTTGCTTTAACCTCATACATGCTGCTACTTGTAGGCTGGGCATTGTGTGTGGGTTGTGTAGTTCTGTGGTCTCCGGTTGGGTCATCGTGACACAACAGGGAGGCTCCTCCCTTCTGTTCCTGTTCCTGGGATAGCCACTCTCACAGCAGGTGCCAGACATACAAATTGAACTTACTCAAATGGCCTGAGATGTTGACTATAGAAGACAACTTCCATGTCCAGACGACTGGCGCAGGGTGTAAAATTTAGGATACATCCAGCCTTAGGCCTGGAGGACTGTGAGGATTTGGGCACAGTGCCCATTTAGGGAGCACTGAGCCGAGTCAGTCCCTTGGGAGCTCTGGGTTACCCTTGCCACCCACAGTGCCACTGCATCCCCGCCTGGGGCTGGGCTAATGGGCAGATATCCAGGTTCTCAGATTATCAGAGCCCAGTTGTCCCTGATCATGGGTCACCACAGCTGAATTAGGCAGATTTCAGGAGTGGTTGGCTAATCTCAAAACAAAATTTCTTTATAATTCAAGAATTTTTCTTAAAAAAAAAAAGGTGCTTCCACTAAGGCATCTGTCTCTAAACCCAGTGTTATCTGAGGAGATGAGAGGGCAGCAGGCACTGCGATGGCAGGCTTGGCACAGCTAAGTGAAGTAGCCACTCCCACTGCCCGCCCTGTGCCAGGCCAGACAGTGGCCTGCGTCCCTCCTCCCAGCTCCGTGGAGGGATGATTGTGAATTGCAGCCCACCAGTTTGAAAACAGTCATGGCAAAAAAAAGTTTCCTGATTTGAGATAATTTCAGACTGTAGCATGTATAATCCAAGGACTGTTCACCCTGAAATAGCACAAGGGTTTGTAAATGGCACCTTTTGTTTTGCTGCTGAGGCCTTTATAATGTACAGATGACTATAACCCTTTTTTGGTCCAGCCTGTCCCCTTGGATGGGGCTGGGACTCTGAGAAGTGCTGTTTCAGTTCTGTGTACGCAGGAGTGGAGGATGGGGTTCCCTGGAAGGCAGAGGGGCTTTTGTACCAGAATATGTTTTCAGTAATTTTGGCAACAAAATAAGTGCTTAGAGAGAGTAAAATACATTTCTTTCTAGAGTGAATGTCCCCAGTGCAATTTGAGGTCAACTTGCATTGCTTTGTCTGGTCACCAGATCTTTTTCTGAGTGTCAATTAGTGACTGAACTGAAATTGTGTCTGACATCTGAAAAGTCTGTGGATACCACAGAGATAAGTATGCATAGCCCAGCTTTTGGAGTAGGTGTGCCCCGGGTGGGTGGGGTAAGGAAGAGCCCCGAGAGGGGCATGAGGAAAGGCAGGGCAGCCTGTGAGTGCACTTGACATGTGGATATTGAGGGCACTTCAGTGGCCAGCTGTTGATTTGTTGGTGTGTTCTTCTTCCTGCAGACAGAATGCCTCAACTACATCCGGGTGCTGCAGCCACTCAGTGCCAGCTCCCTTTATGTGTGTGGGACCAACGCGTTCCAGCCCACCTGTGACCACCTGGTAAGACCACAGACTCATCCCTTGAGTCAGCAATGGTCGTAGCAGCTTCGTCAGTGCTTAAAGCAGAGTGAGGTCCTGGGAATAAAGTGGTCTCCACCCCCAGAGCACCAGGATCTTCTCAGTTCAGCCCACACGGCTACTCTGAGCCTTGGCACTGGTTGGTGGATGGACATTTTAGAAAGTGTGGTGCTGGCAGATGTGCCTTTGGATCTCAGTGACCTTGCTGCAGTAGGCTCCAGGTCATGTGGACAAAGGTCCTGCTCCTGGGTGGAGTGTGTGCTTGGTTGATGCCTTCATAGGTCTTTGGATGTCACCATTCGGTGTCAGGGGCTGGTGTGACCCTGCCCACTGAGCCATCCTCCTGGATCACCCACTCTTGAGTGGTCTGACAAGTGGGGCCACCTCTGCCCCTCCCCAGTCTCATCCCTGACTGGTCCTACTGGCATCCTGCCCCGACCCCTGTGAGTGAGGTGGGGAGGGGCTTCCTCATCCTGACAACCAGATAGAGGGGGAGGCTTACGACTGTTCATCTGATTCTTTGAGGAGGAACTCTGTTTATTCGGATAATCAGAGGAGCAATTTGACAATAGTCACAAACAGGAGGAGGAGGAGTGTTTTAAATATCTAGATGGGAGGACAGAAATGAGCACATTTTCTGGTGACACTCCCTGGATGTAAATGAGTTCTTAACAAATGCAGAACATTCTTTGTGGTGGTCCCCCTTACCTGCTGGGGCTGCTTCCCAAGACCCTCAGCAGATGCCTGGTACTACTTAAGTAGTACCAAACCCTACATCTGACAACCAAGACGGCTACTCTGTGACTAACAGGTAAGTCGTGCGTACAGCAGAACACAGGGATGGCTCATGTCTTGGTCCTGGGCAGGGCAGGGCAGAGCAGGATGGCAGGAGGTCCCCATGCTACTCAGAACCCACAGTTGCTGCAATGGCTGAAACCACGGAGGGAAGAAGACTACTGAAATGAAAAGCTTTTTTTGCCAGAACCCTTAATTGGAATTTAAAAAAAGATATTCCCAGCTGTAGCGCAGAAGTAGAGCATTTACCTACCGTGCAAAAGACCCTGGGCTTGATCCTAACACTGCAAGAAAAAGAAAAAAAAAAAAAACATCCAACCTCGAGTCAGAGAAATGACAAGACAAAGTATGGACTCTAGGATTCACTCAGGTGGCTGGGTGTGGTTAGTGTGTGGCCATAATCCCAGCACTCAGGAGACTGAGGCAGCCTGGGCTATATATAGTGAGACCCTGTCTCAAATAAATAAGCAAACAAAAAAGAAATTCACTTCGGAACCTGGTGCTTGC